TGCCCGGCTTGTGACTGGCTCACTTGGGTCTCCTGCCTGACTCTTAGCCCAGTTTTTCCTGTCTTTTGTATGTTATGTAGTCATATTTCAATATAGCGGAGATCCCCTTGTGTGGGACTGTGCGACTCGATCCTTCCTCGAGATCCTTCAAACTTTCACCATACTTCCCATTTGAGGTGCACACCGCGGAAGGCCTAGGCGTTGCACATGGGTACATTGCCATCCGTTTCTCGTTAGGCAGTAGAATTTTGCGAGTCGCATTGTCACTCCAGCAGTCTAGCTCCAGCCAGGCATGGCAGTGGGGTCTGGTTACCACGCCGAGGGAGGTTTCGCCACGGCTGACGAAACCAACCAAGTACGTCGTGACTCGAGTTGCTATTTGCCGAGCCACGTAGAAGCCGGCGACGTCAGATTACTCTGCGACAGCATCTCCACGTCGCAAGGTGTCGCCATATCACACCCCGCTAACACGATTGGTCCGATCCCCGCTATAAGTGCTGCTGCTGCTGCGGCGGCGGCGGTTGCGTCATTTGCGGCGTCTTCTAGACCAGCCCGATCCAGTGTCTGTCACGTCGTGGGTGCTCTGAACCGTCTTTTTTCCAAACCGATCCTCGCGCGATCGACGTTCTCACATGTACCCGTTACAAGACGTCCCGTTAGTAGCGCCTCGACTTTACCCCCCGATGCTCCTCACAGCGCGCCGAGTTCCGCTCTCGCGATCCTCGCTTCCCGCGCCAGTCAAATCTCCCGTGATCCCCTCATTCGATTTAGTCACATTGCATACCATCAACGGCTCCTGACCTCCTACGGATCCGCGTTTTCCTCATCCTCCCTCGTCCAGCTAGCGAAATCTAGTTTTCTCCGCCCGCCATTCGCGCTGTCCCCGTTAGTAGCCGTACACGCTGACAGAGTTGGTTTGTCGGCCGTCAGATCGTCGTTATTGCACTCAGCAGCCACCTCGGGATCATCAGCAGCGGCAGGCCGAGCGGGAGGAGGTTCGGGGTCGTCAGCACGGTCGGATAGGAGATTTAAACTGCATCTGCCCAAGCATGGCCCGCACAAGCTGCTCCCGCGTCCCCCAGCGCGCGGGAAGGCGCAACCCGCAGCTTCCCCCTCACCCGCGCCCAATTCCCGCGGATCCAGCGCCGCCCCCCGCTTCTCCTCCCCCTCCGTCGGCCCCACCGGGTCCGCTGGCCCCCCCAGTTCCGCTGCCCGTTCCGCCCACCGCCCCGCCCCCCGCCCCTCCCCCCGCGCCCCCCCTCACGCCCCCGCCGCTAGGCAGCTGGGTGTTGAGTTAGGTGCTTTGAGGCCGAAAGCAGTGACTAAGGAAGTGACTATAGCGAAAGGAGTGGGCACGGGGGTGCTTAAGGCAAAAGTCCAGAAGGCTGACGCAGCAATCAAGCCGCGATCTGTAGCAACAGCCGCCGCTACAGATGCCGGCAGGGCGGCAAGCTCACGAGCTGGGAGTGCGGCTGTCGCAGTGGCAGAGGCGACTGATGGCTCACAGGTAGATACAGGGGATTTGATTCAATGAGAGAAGCGGCTGGTAGTTACAGGTAGATGCAGAGAGGGGGGGGAAGGCAGGGGAAGGAGTGAGGATGGAAACGGCATTGCCACATTGGTAGCTGTGGAAGTGGGGAAGGGTGAGGAAAGGTTAGGGATGTTTGTGCCTTTTGTATTCGTTTGTGCCTTTTGCATTCGTTTGTGCCTTTTGCATTCGTTTGTGCCTTTTGTATTCGTTTGTGCCTTTTGTATTCGTTTGTGCCTTTTGTATTCGTTTGTGCCTTTTGTATTCGTTCGTGCAACTCTTCAATACGTTGCTGATGCCTGTCAACCATAGTAAATAAGCCCCTCTTGATTTCTCCATCTGCCCGCCTCCCTCCCTGCAAAGCACTCAGACCTCCAGTGGGCCCAGCACAGGCTTTAAGGAGGAGAAGAGGGGCTGTTTCCCCGCCCTTCCTACCCTTCCTGCCAGTCCCTTCCCACCCTTCCTGCTCTCGCCTGCAGTTGTCATGCCTCGCCCCTACCTGCCCGCCTCCCTCCCTGCAAAGCACTCAGACCATCGGTGCATCCAGCACGGGCTTTAAGGAGGAGGAGAGACAGAAGCAGCGTCCCCCACCACTTTCTGTGGTCTGTCCTTACCCGTGATTGGCTGTGCTTCTGTCTGCCCTCCTCCCTGCAAAGCACTCAGACCGCCGGTGCACCCAGCGCGGGCTTTAAGGAGGAGGAGTGGTAGCAGCAGCTGGCGCTGTTTGCTGGCGACGGTGGGAGGAGGGAGATGGTTCTGACGGGCAAGGAGAGCCGGCGGTACGAGCACGACATCAAGAGGATCGCCGCCCAATTCCGCCTGCACAGGTGAGGTCGAGTTTGAGGTTTAAGAGTTCAGCATTTCAAGGTGTGGGGAGGGGTTGGTTTTCAGGTTTGAGTTTGAGGGAGATGGTTTTGACGGGCAAGGAGAGCCGGCGGTACGAGCACGACATCAAGAGGATCGCCGCGCAATTTCGCCTACACAGGTGGGTAGGTTTTGGGTCCGGGGGCTTTGTGTTTAGGGTCTGAGGTTGAGGGAGATGGTTCTGACGGGCAAGGAGAGCCGGCGGTACGAGCAGGCCATCAAGAGGATCGCCGCGCAATCCCGCCTGCACAGGTGAGCTCTGGGTTTAGGGTTTAAGGATTCAGGATTTAGGGTGGTGGAGGGGAGGGTGGGGGGGGTCGTTCAGGTTTGAAGTGGAGGGAGATGGTTCTGACAGGCAAGGAGAGTCGGCAGTACGAGCAGGAAATTAAGAGGATCGCTGCCCAATTCCGATTGCACAGGTGAGTTTTGACCTCCGGGTCCCGGGTTAGTTGGCCTTATGATGAGGGGTTTATAGTTGAGGTATGGGGTCAGGGTTGAAGGGTTTCGAACTTTGGGGTCCCCGGGGGGTTGGTGTTTAGGGTGAGGGATTGTAAGTTGACGGTATGGTTCTGATGGGCATCGAGAGTCAGCGGCGGTACGAGTAGGACATCATGAGAATTGCTGCTCAATTCTGGTTACGAATCTGAACCACACCACTTACCATGAGTTCTTGCGAGGAAGGTTGTTGTAGACGGCTTGGATTGGATGGCAACGGTGAAGGGTAAGAGTCTGAAAATGGTCAGTAGTGGCTCGAGCAGGTGAGCTTCATCGTAGGGTTTAGGGTTTAGTCCAGTGTGTAGGTTATCGGGTTTACATTAAGCCGAAGGTTTCGGGCGTAGTTAAGTGTGTAGGCTTTTGGGTATATTTGGGTTTAGGGTCTCGGGTTAAGTGTAGCTTTAGAGTTTAGGATTTAGTTCAGGATATAACGCTTTGCTTGCATGCAAGGAGAGCCGACATGACAATAAGATCTGGGCACCACGCGGATTGTGGATCAGTGCATCTTTTCATCATTCATTCACATGGATCTATGGTTTCGTGGTCCTTCCAGACTCCGTTATCTTGGGGTTTGGATTGTAGATTCAGGGGAATACCTATGTAGTGTTAGGCCAGGAACAAGTTTGTTATGAACAGGGTGTTGATGGGGTGGATGCATTTGAGTTGCACATGTCAGGTGGCTTTCCAGGTGGCTTTTCAGGTGCCTTTTCAGGTGGCTTTTCAGGTGGCTTTCAATCAAAGGCATTAGCCAAGACACTAAGCTCCGGATTTTGAGACTCCACGTCAGGTAGCTCCTTCTAATTGCCACATTGCTGACTCATAACAAATCACCTCTCTCTTCTCCCTCCTTTTGACCATACCCCTGTCCCGTGTTCCCCCCCATTCCCCCACACCCCATCAGTCGAATGTACAAGTCCCTAGTCCTCAGCAAGGGCCCTCTGCCTCTTATGAGGCGCCTCACTCACACACACTCTCCTCCTCCCCCTGTTCCCCCTTTCCCTCCCCCCCATCCCCCACCCCGTCTGGCCCCCCGTCCCTCCCATCAGTCGCATGTACAACAAGTCCCTAGTACTCAGCAAGGGCCCTCTGCCTCGTATGAGGCGCCCTACCCCAGCAACCCCATCTTCTCTTCCCCCCATCCCCCCCATCCTCCCCCCTCGTTCTGTCTCCCCCATGCAGTCGCATGTACAACAAGTCTCTAGTCCTCAGCAAGGACCCTCTGCCTCTTATAAGGTGTTTCACGCACATTCCGTCTTCCCTCAACGTCCCGATCCCCTCATTCCCCCTTCTCTCCCCCTCCCCCCTATACATGCAGTCGCATGTACAACAAGTCTCTAGTCCTCAGCCAAGACCCTCTGCTCCTTATGAGGCGCCTCACTCACACACATTCTCCGCTTCACCCCGTACCCCCATCCTCTCCCCTTTTTCCCTCCCCTCCCCCCCATCAGTCGCATGTACAACAAGTCTCTAGTCCTAAGCAAGGACCCTCTGCCCCACTACCGCCCAGAGCTTGACTCCCGGCGGCCGCAGCGACAGGTGGGTGCGATGCGGTGCAGTGCGGGTTAATGTGGGTTTGGTGGGTGGGGGAATAGACTTGGTACACTAGACTAGAAGGCAGTGCTGTGCGGTGCAATGTGTTTCAGTGCTGTATCTTATATGGGAAGAGTGGGCTGGGCTCTGCGGTGCAGTGCGGTGCTTCTCGGTGTGTGCCAGTGTTGTGAGTTATGTCTCGGTGAAGTGTGGTTTCTAGGAGTGGCTGGGTAGTGCATTTTACCTCCCCCAATCCCCTCCGCTTCCAGTCATCTGAGTTCCCTTCACACATGTACTATCGGTCGAGTCTTTCCTCTTTGCCTCTCCTACTAGTCTTCTCTCAACTCGCCCCTGTAGCTGAGTTTCGCCCCAGAAGTTCTTGTGGGGATTGACAGAGTGGTGGCGGATGCAGGGGCAGAAGAAGGGTGAAGTGCTCTGTATGTCTCCCTCCTTCTCACGTGTGGGGCTGATTCTTTCCTTCTTGCTTCTCCTCTTCTCCTCCCCACTTTCCAGTGCAGCTGAGTTTTCCCCCGGAAGTTCGTGAAGCGGATGACAGAGTGGTGGCGGATGCAAGGGCAGACGGATGAAGTGCTTTATTGATCTTCTTCCTTCCATCTCATGTGTGGCGCTGATTCTTTCCTTTCTGCCTCTCCTCCTTCTCTTCACTTGTCGCTGCAGCTGCGTTTCCCCCCACTTTCTAGAGGCGATTGACGGAGTGGTGGCGGATGTAAGGAGGGCTGCTAGGTGAAACGCTGGTCTTCTTCCTTCTCACGTGTGGGGCTGAGTCTCTTTCCTTTCCCTCCTCTCCTCCTCCTTCTCCTCCCCACTTTCCTGTGCAGCTCAGTTTCCCCCCGGAAGTTCTTGAGGCGATTGACAGAGTGGTGGCGGATGTGAGGGGCAAGCGGGAGAGAGAGGAGAGGGAGAAGGAGGAGAGGGAGAGGGAGGAGAGTAAAGCTTCTGGTGGTGAGAAGCGAGGCGTGGCAGAACGAGGGCTGACGGGGTTGCAAGGGGAGAAGGGCGAGGAGGAAGGGGGAGATGAGGAGGAGGATAGGGGGGAGGAAGAAGAGGCGGGGGCGGTTCGTGGAGGAGCGAGGGAGGAAGCGGAGGAGGTGGAGGAGAGGAGGAGATGGCAAATGTGGAGGATCAATGAGAGCTTGAAGCGAAGGCAGCAACAATGGCAGGTACGTGGGGGAGGAAAGAAGGGGGAAGAGGGAGGGGAGGGGGAGGTGGGGGATGAAGGGGAGGGGTTTAGCAGGAGACACTAGTAGAATCTATGGTATTCAATTAGTTAATTGATTGACCGTTAAGTTTCAGCAAAGTACCATCATAAGTACACGCACACCCCGACACATTCACACATGGACACATAAAGACATGCGCTTGTTGTCTTATATGCGTTTATGCATACATAAATCCTGTCATCATGTATCACTCAAACAGGCATCCATGCACATATGTGCACGCGCGCGCGCATGCTCACACTCGCACATGCGTACCATCACCCATGCTGTTTTCTTGCATGTCGGCATCACCGGAAGGGGCATCCATGCTATATACATACATGCACACCCTCGTGGCCTCTGCATGTTACCTTCTCTGCAGGCATCACCAGAAGGGGCATCCATGCTATATACACACATACACACCCTCGTGCCCTCTGTATGTTCCTCTTCTCTGCAGGCATCACCAGAAGGGGCATCCATGCTATATACACACATACACACCCTCGTGCCCTCTGTATGTTCCTCTTCTCTGCAGGCATCACCAGAAGGGGCATCCATGCTATATACACACATACACACCCTCGTGCCCTCTGTATGTTCCTCTTCTCTGCAGGCATCACCAGAAGGGGCATCCATGCTATATACACACATACACACCCTCGTGCCCTCTGTATGTTCCTCTTCTCTGCAGGCATCACCAGAAGGGGCATCCATGCTATATACACACATACACACCCTCGTGCCCTCTGTATGTTCCTCTTCTCTGCAGGCATCACCAGAAGGGGCATCCATGCTATATACACACATACACACCCTCGTGCCCTCTGTATGTTCCTCTTCTCTGCAGGCATCACCAGAAGGGGCATCCATGCTATATACACACATACACACCCTCGTGCCCTCTGTATGTTCCTCTTCTCTGCAGGCATCACCAGAAGGGGCATCCATGCTATATACACACATACACACCCTCGTGCCCTCTGTATGTTCCTCTTCTCTGCAGGCATCACCAGAAGGGGCATCCATGCTATATACACACATACACACCCTCGTGCCCTCTGTATGTTCCTCTTCTCTGCAGGCATCACCAGAAGGGGCATCCATGCTATATACACACATACACACCCTCGTGCCCTCTGTATGTTCCTCTTCTCTGCAGGCATCACCAGAAGGGGCATCCATGCTATATACACACATACACACCCTCGTGCCCTCTGTATGTTCCTCTTCTCTGCAGGCATCACCAGAAGGGGCATCCATGCTATATACACACATACACACCCTCGTGCCCTCTGTATGTTCCTCTTCTCTGCAGGCATCACCAGAAGGGGCATCCATGCTATATACACACATACACACCCTCGTGCCCTCTGTATGTTCCTCTTCTCTGCAGGCATCACCGGAAGGAGCATCCATGCTGGCGTTGAGGCAGAGCCTGCCCGCGTGGAAGGAGCGAGAGCGGCTGCTACAGGCCGTGCGAAATAACCAGGTAGGCGTGAGTTGGTGTGCAGTCTTATAGCGATCTCAGGCCTGACTGCTCTTGCTGGCGTTGAGGCAGAGCCTGCACACGTGAAACGAGCAAGAGCGGCTGCTGCAGGCAGTGCGGAGCAACCAGTTAACAGCGTCGGGTTGTCTGCAGAGGGTGCAATACTGTATCAAGATTAGGGGCTGATGGATCTTCACTTGCTGGCGGTGAGGCAGAGCCTGCCTGCTGCGTGGAAGGAGCGAGAGCGGCTGCTGCAGGCAGTGAGAAACAACCAGGTAATGCTGGAGTGTTCTGCACCCATTGGGGGTGAAGTGGGAGAAAACCCCCTGTGGTTCAATGGCCACTGTCACTGTGTCATGTCATGTCATGTCATGTAATGTCATGTCATGTCATGTCATGTCATGTCATGTTGCTGGTGATGTGAAATGAGAGTGTTTTTGAGACGTCTCAAAAACACTCTCATATCACGTTTCTGATGGTGATTGTTGTGCGCTCCAAGCACCACACCTTGCATAATCTCCTGCTTGTTCATTCAACCTCTGCATCGTTTCACTGCAAGTGGTGCTGGTGGTGTTGTTGGGTGAGACTGGGTTGGCAGGGCAATGCAATGCAGTTGCCCCAAGATCTGCTGGAAGATGCAGTGGAGCTGGGGCTGGTTCTCTATGCTCCGTGCTCCTTGCGCCACACCCAGAGTATTGCCCTCTTCAGTCAGCTGCCTCCGTCCCCCCCTGCAGGTGGTGGTGGTGTTGGGCGAGACAGGATGTGGGAAGACCACACAGCTGCCGCAGTATCTGCTGGAAGATGCAGTGGAGTCAGGCATGGGAGAAGGGCAGGACAGGGCACGGAGCACAGACCTTCATCCTCTGAGCAGCCTTCTCGCTCCCCTCCCCTCCCACTGCCATGCCGTGTAATGCCGTGCCGCAGGTGGTGGTGGTGTCTGTCGAGACCGGATGTGGGAGGACAATATAGCTGCTGCAGTACCTGCTGGAAGACGCTGTGGAGTCAGGGCAGGGAGCACAGAGCTCTGTGTCCCACACACCCAGAGAAATGCTTTGTTCAATCAGTCGCCACCGTGTCCTGTTGTGCCCTGCTGCTACAGGTGGTTGTTGTGTCAGGCGAGACCGGGTGTGGCAAGACGACGCAGCTGCCACAGTACCTTTTGGAAGACGCTGTGGAGTCGGGGCAGGGAGCGCAGAGCTCCATCATTTGCACTCAGCCGCGGCGGATATCGGCAGTGGCGGTGGCAGAGAGGGTTGCTGCTGAAAGAGGGGAGAGCATCGGGCAGTCGGTGAGTGTTCCGAGTCAAACCAAGTCAAGGGGAAGAGGGGCAGGGCAGGGAGCGCAGAGCGCCGTCATTTGCACTCAGCCTCGACGGATATCGGCGGTGGCAGTGGCAGAGAGGGTGGCAAGCGGGGAGAGCATCGGGCGATCGGTGAGTCAACCCAAGTCAACTGTCGTCAGTTGGTGCGTGTTCCGAGTCAACCCAAGTCAACTCAAGTCAAGGGGAAGAAGGGCAGGCGAAGGAGCGCAGATTTCCATCATTTGCACGCAGCAACGGAGGACATCGGCAGTGGCTGTGGCCAAGGGGTTGGCTGCAGAAAGGGGGGAGAGCATCGGGCAATCGGTAAGTGCTTTAGTCAACCCAAGTCAACTCAATTCAAGGGGAAGAAGGGCAGGGCAGGGAGCACAGTGCTCCATCATTTGCACGCGGCCCGAGTGGATATCGGCGGTGGCGGTGACAGAGAGGGTGGCTGCTGAAAGGGGGTGAGAGCATCGGGCAATCCGCAAGTGCTTTACTCAACCCAAGTCAACTCAAGTCAACTCAAGTCAATAATATAGTCGAGTGCATGTTGGGCACTGGCGTCCGGCCCTCGATTCCCGCACTAAAAATATTCCACTCCCTCCCCAATCCGTGCCAGATGGGGTATCAAGTGTGCTTAGAGGTGCGTAGGAGCCGAGCCACACACCTGCTGTTCTGCACGACGGGCGTGCTGCTGAGACGACTGGCTTGTGACCCTTCTCCCCCATCCAATGCCTCACACCCCCATGCCCCCAAAGCAGGTGCGATACCAGGTGCGGTTGGAGGCACGTCGGAGCCGGGCGACGCACCTGCTGTTCTGCACGACGGGCGTGCTGCTGAGACGACTGGCATTCAACCTCCATTCCCTCACTGGAAATCCCGTTCTCCCACTCCCAACCCTATTAGGTGGGGTACCAAGCGCGTTTAGAGGCGCGGAGGAGCAGAGCCACGCACCTGCTGTTCTGCACCACTGCCGTGCTGCTGAGACGACTGGCGTCTGACCCTTTTCCCCCCATCCACTGACTGTCAGTCACCACCACCACCCCCCCACGTCACGCACCAGGTGGGGTACCAAGTTCGTCTGGAAGCTCGAAAGAGCCGGGCCACGCACCTCCTCTTCTGCACCACGGGCGTGCTGCTGAGACGCCTGGCGTCTGACCCTCCTTTCGTCATCCACTTCTTTCCACCCTTTTATGTGCCAGGTCGGGTACCAAGTCCGCCTAGAAGCGCGCAGAAGCAGAGCCACGCATCTGCTGTTCTGCACCACGGGGGTTCTGCTGAGACGACTGGCGTCCGACCCGCTGCTGACCGGCGTGACTCACATCGTGGTGGACGAGATCCACGAGCGGGGCATGAACGAGGGTGAGTGAGGAGGGGGGAGGTGGGTTACAGGCGTTGCTAGCAGGTTACGCTTTACTAGCAGTCTGATGGGCGTCACTCACATCGTTGTGGATGAGACCTCCTCCCCCGCCGCCCCGATCTGAAGCTAGTGCTTGCCCCATCGTCTCCCTTATCCGATCGTCTTATTTCCATCTCCCCCACCAACCAGGCTTCCTTCGCATCGTCTTGAGAGACCTGCTCCCCCGCTCGGAAGCGGTACTGGAGTCACTTTTGAGAATGCTCAGGAGTCTTGAGACTGCTTCTACTCCTCCCATGTTTTCCCTTCCCCCTACTCTTTCCCTCTCCCCCACCAACCAGGCTTCCTTCGCATCGTCTTGAGAGACCTCCTCCCCCACCTTCTCGATCTGAAGCTGGTGCTCCCCTTACATCTTCTTCCCCTCCTGTCTTCTCCCCTTCTCTCGCCCCTTTTCCTTTCCCTCCTCTCTCCCCCCTTCCCCCTCTTGTCCCCTCTCCTGCCCCCTTCCCCCCCTCTCTCCTGCCACAATCACACTTCCTCCTCATCGTCTTAAGAGATCTGCTCCCACGCCGACCCGGTTTAAAGCTGGTGCTCCCTGCTCACCTTTCCCCGCCCTCACATGCTCTCCGTCCCCCCCACCAACCAGACTTCCTCCTCATCGTCTTGAGAGATCTCCTCCCGCGCCGTCCCGATTTGAAGCTGGTGCTCATGAGTGCCACTCTCAACGCGGACCTCTTTTCACACTACTTCAGCGGTGCTCCCACGCTGCACATCCCGGTGAGTGAGTGCTGACGGTGACTGTTGAAGTGACAGGTGTGTAGGGTGCTCTCATGAGCGCCACGCTCAACGCGGACCTCTTTTCACAGTACTTCAGCGGTGCTCCCACCCTGCACATCCCGGTGAGTAGTGCTGATAGTTGAGGTGATACCTGAGGGAGTGTTTGGAGGCGGCATATCTCGCTCGCACATATGGTACTTTTGAAATACTATTGTGGTGCAGCCACATTGAACATTTTGGTACACACCGACTAATTTGGTATTGGTATTGGCTTACTTTCACCCTCTCACTTCCTCCACCACTTAGTTTTGCCCTTTCAACACCTTTCTGGCGTCTAGGAGATTACTAAAAAGACTTGTCTCTGGTCCTTGTTCTTTTGCAGCTTCTTGTGTTCTTCCCGACGTCTTTCCACAGCATCTCCCCAGTTCTCCTACTTCTTGGAGTAAACACTTCACGCTAAACCCATCTATAATCAATATGTTTTTCCTTCCCTGACATCCCGATCCTTTTCTTTACTTCTAACCATCTCCAGGGCTTCACCTCCCCTGTGCGATCCTACTTTCTAAAATAAACTCCTCACACATGATTAAGACAAAAGCATTTTTCCCCCTCCCCTGAATCCACCAGGGCTTCACCTACCCTGTGCGCTCCTACTTCCTGGAAGACGTGTTGGAGCTCACAGGGCACGAAGTCACTCTCTACAACCAGGTGAGCACTCATCTTAACCCTCCTCCCTCTCTGTATGTTACAGCTCAGCTCGCAGCATCTCTTAATCTTACTTCCTGGAAGGCGTGTTGGAGCTGACAGGGCACCAAGTCACTCCCTACAACCAACCAGGTGCGCCCTGTGTTGTTCTTAGTCCTGGGGCAGGAGCACGAGATTTCGGGATCAACAGCATGTCAGCATCTCTCTGTTCTGGCGGCTCACAGCATCGTCCCCTCCTTCCTGGAAGATGTGTTGGAGCTCACAGGGCACGATGTCACTCTCTACAACCACTTCATGACTTTTTTCCTTCCTTCAGTCGAATTTGCTTATGATTTGGTGGAGCCCACAGGCCCACACCACACCTCACCGCACCGCACCACACACACACTATCAGGTGGACGACTACGGCAGTGAGCAGCAGTGGAAGGGCAATTTCTTGTGATGATCCGATAACACCACCCCATCGCACCAAACTCCACCGCACCGCACCACACCGCACATCACACTCCAACAGGTGGACGACTATGGCAGCAAGCAGCAATGGAAGAGCGAGTCACTGTCTCGTTGCCCCATATTGCATTTCCAAATAACACCACTGCACCGCACCACATCACACCCCATCGCACCGCACTGCACCGCACATCACACCCTAACAGGTGGATGACTACGGCAGTGAGCAGCAGTGGAAGAGGAGGCGGCAGATGGCCCTCATGGAGAAGCGGAGAAACAGCCTGGAACCTTCCTTTGTTCAGGTAATTTTTTCGAGCCGGTGGATGCGTTGGTTCTTCGTCATGGTATCTCCATGGTTTCTTTTTTATTCGGCTCAAGACATGAGCTCTCGAGTTAGCGAGTCAGATCTGTGACTTTTGTGTTACCACTGCCGTGCCGTTTCGTGCAGCCATGGTATGGTATGATGTATCCGTGGTTTTTTTTTTGTCTGTCCGCCCCTGCCGCTCCTCCCTTGCAATCTGACAAACTTCCCCACCTGCAAATTCCTCCCACTGCCGTTTCAGGAAGCCCTCGCCCACCACTTGTTCGCCTCCCACTCGCCCTTTGTGCAACGCTCCATGGAGCGGCAGGGCGTGGGTTTTTCCCTCATCGAATTGCCATCAGTCTGTTCTTTCCATTTCCCCCCACCGCTAACAGGAAGCCCTCGCCAATCACTCCTTCGCCTCCCACTCGCCCTTTGTGCAACGCTCCATGGAGCAGTGGACTGGTGAGGGCGTGGGGTTCTCCCCCATCGAATCTCAATCAGCCGGTCCCTCGGTTTCCACCCACATTCCCCTCCCCACTGCCCTTTCAGGAGGCTCTCTCCAACCACTCCAACCGCGAATTAAGGGAGACTACTTTGAGCCGACTCACAATTTGCCCGGTCCCTTCTCCCCCCACCTACATTCCCCTGCCACCGCTAACAGGAAGCGCTTGCCAATCACTCCTTCACCTCCCACTCGCCCTTTGTGCAACGCTCCATGCACCAGTGGAGCGGGGAAGGAGTGGGTTTTTCCCTCATCGAATCCGCTCTCGAGTTTGCAGTGCGGCGTGGCCCCCGGCTGCTGGCACAGATGCAGAAGGAAGGGGGGAGGGAGGGGGGGCGCGAGTGGGGCAGAGAGGGGAGGGAGAGGTGGGAGGCGGGGAGGGAGAGAGACGGGATGCAGGAGAGGGAGGAGGAGAGGAGGGAAGGGAAGCAGGACGCAGCAGGGGTTGTGGGGAGCAAGGATGCAGGGGCGGTGCTGGTGTTTATGACGGGGTGGGATGATATTATTGGCATGCGCGACAGGCTGAGGGAGCACCCGCTATTGGGGGATGAGAGCCGGGTGCTGCTGCTCACATGCCATGGCAGCATGCCCATTGACGAGCAGGTGCGTGTGAGATGGGCTGAGGTGGGCTGAGGGGTACAATGATTTGGACATGCGGGACAGGCTGAGGGAGCACCCGCTGTTGGGAGACGAGAGTAGGGTGATGCTGCTCACGTGTCATGGCAGCATGCCCATTGAAGAGCAGGTGCGTGTGAGTGAGGTGGGCCGTGGTGGGTTGAGGTGGGCTGAGTCGGGCTGAGGTGGGCTGGCTGGGGTGGCCTGAGGTGCTAAGGGGGATGACATCATAGGCATGTGCGACAGGCTGAGGTCATCATAGGCCCCGGGGTTACCAAGGTCGCCCTGACCACCACCAACATGGCCAAAACGTCCATCACCATCAACCACGCATTGAACACTAACCCCTCTATGCCCTGCCTTCCTCCCTGCCCCCCTTTGCTCCCGTGCCCACTGTGCCTCCAAGCACAAGCTCATGTTCAACCCGCCACCTCCAGGGGTTACTGAAGTCATCCTGGCCACCAACATGGCCGAGACCTCCATCGCCACCACGTCGCTCCAGTCATCCTAACCCACTCCTCCATCCGTTCCATTCTCCCTTGCCCCCAAGCAGAAGCTAATCTTCAACCCGCCACCCCCTGGAATCACCAAGGTGATCCTGGCCACCAACATGGCTGAAACCTCCATCACCATCAAAGACGTCACTCTGACATCCCATCCCACTCTTCCCCTCCTATCCCCCCCCCCCCCCTATCCCCCCCTACCCCTCATTCCCCCCAAGCAGAAGTTGATTTTCAACCCACCACCTCCAGGAGTTACCAAGGTGATCCTGGCCACCAACATGGCTGAAACCTCCATCACCATCAACGACGTCACTCTGACATCCCATCCCACTCTTCCCCTCCTATCCCCCCCCCCCCCCTATCCCCCCCTACCCCTCATTCCCCCTAAGCAGAAGTTGATTTTCAACCCACCACCTCCAGGAGTTACCAAGGTGATCCTGGCTACCAACATGGCTGAAACCTCCATCACCATCAACGACGTCGCCCTGGTCATCGACACAGGAAAGGCCAAGGAAACTTCCTACGACGCAGTGAACAACGTGCCCTGTCTCCTCCCCCAGTGGGTCTCCAAGGCCTCTGTGAAGCAGAGGCGGGGGCGCGCGGGGAGAGTGCGGCCGGGGGTGTGTTTCCACCTGTACCCGCGCCCGCTGTTTGCTGCTCTGCCGGACTATGGTCAGCCGGAGCTGCTGCGGGCGCCACTGCACTCGCTGTGCCTGCAGATCAAAACGCTCGGGCTGGGCAATATTGGAGAGTTCCTCGGAAAGGCCATACAGCCGCCAGAGCCGCTAGCGGTGAGTAGGGCGCTGGCAGTGTAGGTGGGTGGGGTGGGTTGGGCTGGATTAAGATGGCAGATGGAAACGCGGCCACCCACCCAGCCAGGTGTGTGTTTCCACCTGTACCCGCGCCCGCTGTTTGCTGCTCTGCCGGATTATGGCCAGCCGGAGCTGCTGCGGGCGCCGCTGCACTCGCTGTGCCTGCAGATCAAGACGCTCGGGCTGGGCAACATTGGGGAGTTTCTTGGGAAGGCCATACAGCCGCCTGAGCCTCTAGCTGTGAGTGGGTGGGTTGGAAAGGTGCATTTGTTATCTGCTTGCAGATCAAGACTCTTGGGCTGGGAAACATTGGGGAGTTTCTTGGGAAGGCCATACAGCCACCAGAGCCTCTAGCTGTGAGTGAGCTAATCGCTGTATAAGTGGGTAAGCTGCCTGCAGATCAAGACGCTCGGGCTGGGCAACATCGGGGAGTTTCTTGGGAAGGCGATACAGCCGCCTGAGCCTCTAGCTGTGAGTCTGGGACTGGCTTCTTCAATTGTGTCCGGCAGTCTGCGAAATTTGATTTACGACGATCGGGCTGGTAAATATTGTGAAGTTTCTCCTGGGAAAGGCCATACAACCCCCACCCCACCCGAGAACCCCTTGCTGCGAGTGCGAACGAGGTTCGTTGGATACGTGGATTCCAGTCCGGCTGCAAACGAAGTCACTTAAGTTGGACAACGTTAGGTAATTTCCCATGCATGAGGAACGCCGTACAGATACAGCCCCCAGACCAGAACCCATGCAGTTGCATTAGAACCTCTTGCATTGGGTGCCTTGACGTTCTGAATCGTGTAGAGGGAGAGAGATCTCCTTGATTGTAGTTTGTGCAATCGCTCGTCGGGTTTTCCGTTTGTGCATTTTCATTTGTGTGTTTGAGTGTGGGCATTTCGTGTCGTGGTGTCTCATCTCATATATCTGTCGATGATGGATGTGTCCATGCATCCATGCATGCATGCATGCAGGTGGACAATGCCATAGAGCTATTGGAGGATGTGGGGGCTGAATCTGTTTTTCTGAAAATTCTCAAAGAAAGGGGGGCCTGGACAAGGATGAGAGCCTCACCTCACTCCAATCTCTACATCTGTGCATTCACGTTTTCATGTGTCTGTCTGTGTATCTGTGTGCACCATCCATCCGTGCATCATGCATGCATGCAGGTGGACAATGCCATAGAGCTTCTGGAGGACGTGGGGGCATTGGACGAGGATGAAAACCTCACACCACTGGGTACGTATGGCATGGCATGGCATGGCATGGCATGGTATGGCATGGCATGGCATGGCCATACATCCCAACCACCCCATACATGTGCCTCACACGTCCTGGTACGCAGGTAGTGCACTCACATGCACATACCGCGTGGTATCCATAGCATTGCCATGCATGATACACCCAACCCATGCATGTGTGTCACACTGCTTAGACACATGGCATGGCCATACACCCCATGCATGTGCCTCACATCCTTTTATTTGCTGATATTTATGAGGTGCGCGCACGCACGTACCGTCACTTACAAAATGGTGCCACTGCTGGTTTGGCATGCATGCGCGCATGCATGTGCCCATGCATGTATGCGTGAGCGATCGGGGGTCGCTGGAGAGAATGAAAACACCCTCCACATGGTAAAAGAACCTCGACGGCAAGCGATGTTGGTGATGGGAAGTTGGTGGGTGCTGATGGGTGCTGATGGGTGGTGGTTGGTGGTGACAGTTGACGATGCGACACTGCTGTCGAGTGTCATCTCTCAACCCACCCTGCTCTCCCTCTCTCCAGGTCGTCAACTTACAGCACTGACCCGCGAGCCACGGTTTGAGAAGATGCTGGTCATGGCGGCACTGCTGTCGTGTGCCAACCCACCCCTTCCACATCCCTTTCTCCTCTCAACCCACTCCTTCCACATCCTCTCAACCCACCCTGCTCTTCCCCTCTCCAGGTCGCCACCTCACAGCTCTCCCTCTGGAGCCACGAGTGGGGAAGATGCTGGTGATGGCGGCGGTGCTGACGTGTGTGAAACCTTTTCGCTTCTCTCTCAACCCACCCTGCTCTCCCTCTCTATTCTTGACTCTCGCAGGTCGACACCTCACAGCACTGCCCTTGGAGCCGCGGGTGGGGAAGATGCTGGTGATGGCGGCGGTGCTGTCGTGTGTGAACCCTGTGCTCACCGTTTCCTTTGCCTCCTAACCTACCCTGCTCTCCTTATCCCTCCCAGGTCGGCACCTCACAGCACTGCCTTTGGAGCCACGCGTGGGGAAGATGCTGGTGATGGCAGCGGTGCTGTCATGTGTGAACCCTGTGCTCACCGTGGGGGCTACTCTTAGTGAGAGAGAGCCGTGGGTTCGACCAGCAGACAAGCGAGAGGTGAGCTTGACTCAAGCAGATGAAGGGGTGATGAGATGAGGGGTAGTGGTGCTGTCGTGTGTGAACCCGGTGCTCACTGTGGGGGCTACTCTGAGTGAGAGATAGCCGTGGGTGCGACCAGCAGACAAGCGAGAGGTGAGCAGGGAGGGGGGGGGGGGGGGGGGAAGGGGGGAATGGGGGAGGGGGGGAATGGGGGAGATGAAAGAGTGATGGCAGCAGTGCTGTCGTGTGCTCACTGTGGCAGCTACCCTCAGCGAGAGAGGGCCGTGGATGCGACCAGCGGATAAGAGAGAGGTGAGAGGAGGGAGAGGTGTGAGTGCGAATGAGGCAGGGTGGGTGAGTAAGGGGTGAGGCGGCAGTGCTGACCGGTGTGAACCCTGTGCTCACTGTGTCAGCCGACCTCTGTGGGGGTGCGAATTTTGAGGCGCCTCAAAAGTGATGACGGCAGTGCTGATGTGTGTGTACCCTGTGCTCACTGTGGGGGCTACCCTTAGTGAGAGAGAGCCGTGGGTGCGACCAGCAGATAAGTGAGAGGTGAGAACGAGGCAGGCAGACGAGGGGGAGATGAAGGGGCGCTGGCGGCAGTGCTGACCGGTGTGTACCCTGTGCTCACTGTGTCAGCCAACCTCTGTGGGGGTGCGACCAGCAGACAAGCGAGAGATGAGCAGGGAGAGGGGTATAGAGAGAGGCAATGGAGGAAAATCAAGTGCGGATGGGATGGGAGCTGTGAGAGTGTCACTCACGGATGAGAGGTGAGAAGGGAGAGGAGAGGCTATAAGTAATATTCAACTGTGCAGCAATATTAGGGGGCGTTCAAGAGGTGTTCAAAGGGTGGATGGTGACCCTGGGCCTAGGCAAGCCAGCACCAGCCATTTCCATCCAATCACATCTTATGATTCTTATTCCATCCATCCCTCACTGCTCTCCTCCCCCACCTCGCCTCTACCCCCCGTGCATCAGGTGGCTTACGCGGTGCGGCTGCGCTATCGCAGGGATGCACTGCAGGGCAGGCTGCGCCTTTCTGGGGTCTCACCTCCCCTCGTTTGAGAATTCTCGAAAGCAACATCCCCTCATTGCAGGGTGCTCATTGAGGGGTGGGTGGTGGGGCGGCTCTAGGGACAGCAGTCAGCTGTTCTTATCCCCACCGTCCCCGCTACGCTACCCTCTTTCATGCCCCCCCCCCAAAAACCTTCTCCCCTGTGACCCCGTACATCAGGTGGCTGACTCGGTGCGGCTGCGGTTTGCAGGAGATGACTGCAGCGACCACTTTGCAGCAGTGCGGGCGTTTGAGGGGTGGGTGGCGGTTCTGGGATCAGCCACTAGCCATTTTCCATCCCTCCCCATCGCCCTCCTCCCCCACCTTCCCCCTAACCCTGTCCATCAGGTGGCTGACTCGGTGCGGCTGCGCTTTGCAGGGGACGACTGCAGTCATCACTTCGCAGCAGTGAGGGCGTTTGAGGGGTGGGTGGCGGCTCTGGGGGCAGGGAACAGCCGCAGCGACGGCTACAGCGCTGCTCGGGCGTACTGCTTCGACCACTTCCTATCGCATCCCACCATGCAGGCACGTGGTGGTGTTATAGGCACGTGGTGTTCTGTTCCCCTGTACTGCTTCTCTAGGATCAGCAGCCAGACGCAGCGACGGTTACAGCGCTGCTCGGGCGTACTGCTACGACCACTTCCTATCGCACCCCACCATGCAGGCACGTGGTGGTGTTATAGGCACGTGGTGTTCTGTTCCCCTGTACTGCTTCTCTAGGATCAGCAGCCAGCCGCAGCGACGGCTACAGCGCTGCTCGCGCGTACTGTTTCGACCACTTCTTATCGCACCCCACCATGCAGGCATGTGGTTGTGTTATACAGATACATGTTGGTTCTTCTTCTTCTTCTTCGTCTTCTTGATCCTCATTTCTAAGATTGACACACTCTTTTGCCGGTGCATGAGGTCGATGCATGAGGTCGATGCATGAGGTCGGCGCACCCTGGTGTGACCTTTGAGATGTCCCAAAAGGCGCACCCTGGTGTGACCTTTGAGATGTACCAAAAGGCGCACCCTGGTGTGTAACCCGCATGTATATGATATTCTTGTGATGTAAGCACCTTTTTTTTTCCTAAACTATCCTATCTGAATATTCAAGCAATTCTTTATGCAGCCCAGAGCCTATTCTTCCTTCTCACTTACTAATGTTGTCTTGTCCCATACCTTCCTCATCATCAGTCAATAGCAGGGCTGAGGCGGCAGCTGCTGGGGACACTTGGCGAGCTGGGATTGGTGGATGTGCAGCAGGGCATGGATGACGCCAACAGCAGGAGCAACGACCCCGAGTTTGTTCGAGCTGCGTTGTTGGCCGGGCTGTTCCCTGGGGTGGCGTCTGCTGTGGTGAGAGCAAGAGTGTGCGTGTGTGTGTGTGTGTGTGATTGTTTGTGTGGGACTGAGGAGGGCATGGACGAGGCCAACAGCAGGAGCAACGACCCTGAGTTCGTCCGAGCTGCGTTGCTGGCTGGGCTGTTTCCCGGGGTGGCTTCTGCTGTGGTGAGAGAAAGGGGAGTGTGAGGGATTAGGGTGTGTGCTGTGTGCACGTGAGTGCATACAACTGTACGTCTCGCCAACAGCAGGAGCAACAACCCGGAGTTTGTTCGAGCTGTGCTGCTGGCCGTGCTGTTCCCCGGGGTGGCGTCTGCAGTGGTGAGAAGGAGAGAGACGGTGAGGGGTTATGGTGTATGTGGTGTGTGTGTGTGCGCGTGTGTGCGCACAACTGTGTGTCTCATCAACAGCAGGAGCAACAACCCCAAGTCTGTTCCGGCTGCGCTGCTGGCTCGGCTGTTTCCCGGAAGGCGTCTGCAGTGGTGAGAGTGTGTGTGTGTGGACTTAGGTGTACGTGGCATGCTTGTGAGGCCAACGGTAGGAACCGGACTTAGTTCGGGTGGCGCTGCTGGCTGGAATATTTCCTGGGGTGGCGTCTGCAGTGGTAAGCAGGTGGAAGGGACTGAGGGACTAGGGTGCTGCGTTCTTTCCCCCGACGTCATCCACCACCCCATGTAACTTCAACCCCCTTCACCTCCCTTCTCCTCTTTTCACCTCCCTGCACCTCCCCGTCTGCTGGTCACATGCAGAAACGGACGCGCAGCACAACGTACAAGACGGAGGAGGATGGGGAGGTGAACATTCACCAGGTGCGTACGTATGTAGTGAGATGAGACGTGTGGTGAGATGTGTGGGGAGATGTGTGGCCCACATTCCAAAGGGTGAACATGAGTGTTCGAGTTCGCGCGGGTTCGAACACTCATGATCAGCGAACTGAACATGTTCATGTCACGGTGTTTGAGATGTGTCTTCGAACATGCCTCATTGCCCAGGTGAAGAGGTCAGCATGTGCCATCTCTGTATGTATGTAGTGCATGTACCAAGAACATGATGTTGTATCTCCTCCCTTTTTCTCGGCCATCCCCCAATCCCCATTGCCTCTCATCCCCCACCCCTCATACTCCATCCCCCCATCTCTCGCAGTCCTCTGTGAACGCGGGTCTCACGCGCTTCCCCTACCCCTGGCTGGTGTTCAACGAGAAGGTACTTTGGCTTGCAATGGCATCGGGTGGTATGTATGTGGCATGTATGGGTGCGATAACATATGCTTGGCTCATTCCTACAAGGCAATCATGGGTGGCGAGCTCGATGACATGGATGGACCACTATGTCGCTATCCATTCTGTAATGATCATGGTAGCAGCAAGGCCATGGCCTGATTCTTATACAAAACTTTTTGTGCAAAAGGCAACACGGGAATACTGGGAATCTTTTAGAATTCTCATAAGTGACTCCAATTTGTCTTTTGTGCTCAGTTACTGTGTGGTGAGAATTCTCAAAAGTGACGTGCCTGAATTATGCGCAGAACAGTATGCAGACGCGAAGCGGATGCGAAGCACTTGCTTTGCCTAAACCCTGAAACCCTCGAACCCTGAAACCAACACACCATTTATCCCTTGTGCCCCACACTCTCAGATCAAGACAACCTCGGTCTTCATCCGTGACTCTACCGGAGTGTCCGATGCGGGGCTGCTGCTGTTCGGAGGCCCGCTCACCCCCACCACCGACCCCGGGTATCTGCACATGCTGGACGGCTACTTTGAGTTCTTCATGCCGCCCACCGCCGCCCGCTCCGTGCTCGGTTTACGGACCGAACTCGACTCCCTGATCCAACGGAAGGTGAGGAGTGGATTAGGGGATGCTTACGGGTGATAGTGAGGAATTGTCTCTTTTTACTGTCAGGGCGTGGTGTAGTGTAGGCTGATTCTGAGTCAGACGGGGCGGTTAATCTATTAGGCACCTCAAGAACAGACCGACCCATCCCGGGTATCTGCACTTGCTGGACGGCTACTTTGAGTTCTTCATGCCGCCCACCGCCGCCCGCTCCGTGCTAGGTTTACGGACCGAACTCGACTCCCTGATCCAACGCAAGGTGAGGAGTGGATTAAGGGATGCTTACGGGTGATAGTGAGGAATTGTCTCTTTTGACTGTCAGGGCGTGGTGTAGTGTAGGCTGATTCTGAGTCAGACGGGGCGGTTAATCTATTAGGCACCTCAAGAACAGACCGACCCATCCCGGGTATCTGCACATGCTGGACGGCTACTTTGAGTTCTTCATGCCGCCCGCTCCGTTCTCGGGCTGCAGTCTGAACTTGACTCGCTTATTCAACGCAAGGTGAACTGAGGAGTAGTAACACTGACAGGGCTTAGGTTTCAATGGCTGAGGCCATATGCCAGGTTTTGGCACCGCAGCCTTGTGCCAAAAGCTTGTCGAGGCGCCTCAAAAGGCAAACACCGTAGGCTTGTGCCAAAACCTGTTCATCTCCTCTTCTCCTTTCTCAGATGTTTCATTGCAGCTGGAGAACCCTCGCCTTCCCTTGACACCAGAGAACCCTCGCCTTCCCTTGACACCAGAGAACCCTCGCCTTCCCTTGCAACCCTTGACGCCATACTGGGAGCTGTCTCCGACTAGCTACAGTGTGGACAGTCACAAGGCACATTCACTGCTGTCCTGCACCATGCCAACAAACCAATTGTGATATTGTTTTCCTCTCGCTTTCCCATTTTCACCACCCCACCGCAGCTGGAGAATCCTCGCAACCCCTCTCACACCAGAAGACGAGGCCATCCTGGGAGGCTTTTGAGTCGACTCAAAAGTCACCTCGTCTCTGACCTGCTGCAGTGCGACCAGCCACACGGGACCTTCATTGTCAGCCTCCTGACAAAAGTCACTCATGTGTAACTTCTCTCTCCTCTTTTCCTCCCTTTGGAACACCCCAACGCAGCTGGAGAACCCGCACCTCCCCTTAACACCAGAGGACGAGGCCATTATGGGAGCTGTCTCGGACCTGCTGCAGTGCGAGCAGTCACAAGGCACCTTCACCATCGGCCTCCAGCCAAAGCTCGCCCCACCCAAGCCAGTCAAACCCGTTCGGGCGAAAGCAGTGGACATGAAACTGGAAGCCGGAAAGGATTTCAAGTCGTACGTTCACAACAACTGCAAGATCCACTTCCTGGGCAAACCGCGTTACTACACGGAGCAGATCGGGACGAAAAAGGAGAAGGTGTATCAGTGCACTATGCGGCTTGGTGGGGCCGCAGCGGGGATTGATTTTGTCGGCGAGCCGGCTTCTACTAAGAAAGTAGCTGAGTGGAACGCTGCTGTGGAGGCGTGGCAGTGGATTTTGGAGTATAAGAAGGTGGAGCGGAAGGAGAAGGAGGCTAAGGAGGAGGTGAAGAAGGCTGGGAGGAAGGATAGAAAGGAAATCAGGAAGGCGAATCATAAGATGGAGGAGAGGTGGGAGTTTTGGAGGAAGAAGTATGAGGAGGAGGAAACGGCTGCGAGGGCTGCGAAACGGAAGGAGAAAGGAGGAGGCAGTGGGGGGGTTGTAGGGGTGGGGGATGAAGAGATGGTGGGTGAAAGGGCGGCGGAAGGAGGAAGAGGGATGGAAGAGAAGGGTGGGTTAAGGGGGCGTGGGAAGGCAGGAAGAGCGTCAAAAAGGGAGCGTAAGGAGGGGGGCAGCGAGGGCAAGGGTAAGCAGGAGCTTCTTCCGTTGAGTCAGGCAACAAAGGGAGTGGCGAAGGTGGCGTCTAAACGAAGAGGGAAGGAGAGAGCAGGAGGAGCAGAGGAGAGGCTTGATGCAGCTGGTGGGGGGGGAGCAGAGGTAGCAGGAGGGGGAGTGGTGGATGGGGATGGTGCAAGGGAATGGGCTGATATGGCTAGTGGAGGGGAGGAGGAGGAGAGGGGGAGAGGGAAAAGTGGGAGGAAGGGCAAGGGCAAGGGAAAGGGCTCCCTAGAGGTGGTGCTTCCGAATGATGATGATGTGTTTGAGATGCCGCCACAAAAGAGGAAGGCTAGGGGTAAGGGGAAAAGCACCATTGAGGTGGTGCTTCCTAGCGATGATGATATGCAAGGAAGGGTAGGGCAGAAGCATGGTAGGAAGCGCACTGTGGAGGAATAGATATGACTTTTGAGTCGACTCAGAAGCGGGGTGCGGAGGAATAGATATGGTCTACATGAGTGATTGGGGAATGGCCGGGGTAAGGGGGAAAAGCACCATTGAGATGGTGCTTCATAGTGATGACAATGATGATGATGATACGGTATGCAAGGGTAGGGCAGAAACGAGGCAGGAAGCGGGGTGCGGAGTGGGCATGATGGTTTGTCGCCATGCGCTGTGGGGCATGCATGGTGGGAAAAGGTAGATGCACGTCCTGATGTGCTCTAATTTTGACAAGGGTACCACTTGCTTTAAGCAAGGCTCCAATCAGGACTTCTTAAGATCACTAAAATTTGTATGGGTGCTCTCTGATATGGAAGAAGAAACCATGGAGCAACATAGGAAAAACACATGTCGCATTATTGTACACACAAAGGGCGTAAACATTTCTCTGACAGTACGAGTAACAAGAGCCCCCAGCTACAGGTATAATCAATACATCAGTCCCCACCCAGGGGTCTACATTCAGCGGATCAAGTCAAGGTATCCTATCCTAGCAGTCAGAGCTTGAAAACGCACACAAACACTGTTTCGTTTATGCAACACATATGATGAATCTAGATCGTGGCTGAGTGCGAGTTATGTGCGGCTTGCAAACACAAAGATGGAGCCTTGGGATCCTCGGCCGATGCGCACACATGACTGAGGCTCTCTGTTATTGCAACACACATGAATCTAGATGGAGGCTGAGTGGGGGGAGTCACGTGCGGCGTGCGAACACAAAGACGGGGCCTTGGGATCCTCGGCCGATACGCACGCGCTCATCGAGGTACGACACGGACAGGCGCACGGACGACTGCCCTCCGTACGAGTATCAGGCAGCGCGCTGCGCACTGCTATCTTTATAACTCTAATTACGTGCGGCGTGCGAACACAAAGATGGAGCCTTGGGATCCGCGGCCAATGCGAATGCGGTCATCGAGGTAGGACACGGACAGGCGCACGGACGACTGCCCTCCGTACGAGAACTTGAGCGAGCCGAGAGCAAGGTTGGGTGCCTCAAACACCGCCCTCACCCACTTGTTGTCCAGCGGCTCGAATGTGCCTGAAAGAATTGTGGGAGAGAGGGAGACAGAGAAAAGGAGAAGGTAAGGGGGAAGAAGTTGACTCAAATTCATCCAAGGTTGGGTGCTTCGAACACCGCCCTCACCCACTAGTTGTCCTGCGGCTCAAACGTGCCTGGTGGGGGGAAGGCATGGGGAAGAACAAAGGTAGGGAGGGGGGGAGGTGGGGCAGGGTAGAGGTGTGTGAACGGACAGTGGGGCAGAGCGGAGGTTTGAAGGGAGGATCATCGAGGTACGGCACAGAGAGGCGCAGGAGCGACTGCCCTCCGTAAGAGAACATGAGCGGGCCCAGAGCAAGCACCCACTTGTTGTCCAGCGGCTCGAACGTGCCTGTAAGGAGGAAACGGTGGGGCAAATAAAAGCGAGAAGAATGAGGCTGGGTGGTCCAAACACCGTTCACACCCACTTGTTTTCCAGCGGCTCAGATGTGCCTGGTGGGAGGTGGGACAGGGTGAGATGAGGCTTGGGGAAAGGGGGGGGGGGGGGGGGGGGGGGGGAGGGGGAAGGTGGAAAAATAAGGCGCCTTGGAAAGAGCTTGTGCAAAAGGAAAGCTTCGTGCATGGTGCATTGCGCATGGCGCATGGCGCGTGGTGAATGGTGCATGGTGCATGGTGCATGGTGCATTGCGCATGGTGCATGGCGCATGGTGCATGGTCCACGATGTGCATGGTCCACGGTGCATGGTGCATGGCGCGTGGTGCATGGTGCATGGTCCATGGCGCGTGGTGCATGGTGCATGGTCCACGGTGTGCATGGTGCATGGTGCATGGCTCATGGCGCGTGGTGCATGGTGCATGGTGCATGGCGCATGGTGCATGGCGCATGGTGCATGGTCCGCGATGTGCATGGTCCACGGTGCATGGTGCATGGTGCATGGTCCATGGCGCGTGGTGCATGGTGCATGGTCCACGGTGCATGGTCCATGGCGCGTGGTGCATGGTGCATGGTCCACGGTGCATGGTCCATGGCGCGTGGTGCATGGTGCATGGTCCACGGTGCATGGTCCATGGCGCGTGGTGCATGGTGCATGGTCCACGGTGCATGGTCCATGGCGCGTGGTGCATGGTGCATGGTCCACGGTGCATGGTGCATGGCGCGTGGTGCATGGTGCATGGTCCAAGGTGCATGGTCCATGGCGCGTGGTGTCTACAACAGGCGCTTGAAGCGCACCAGTGTGCAGCCGATGCTCTTTCGCTTTCCCATAAACTCCTCCTCCTCCTCCCCGCCACCCCCCCGCACCTGTTCCCCCATTCGTTTCTACCCTCCCCTTTCACCTTTGAGGCTGATACTGCCGGGGATCAGGGAGAGGGCGTCAAACTCCACAAGGTTATCGACCCCGTTGGGCGGGTAGATGGTCTGCACCAGGTCCTTGGATCGCAGCAGCAGGTGGTTACCATGAGACATGTACCTGGCACCGCACCCAACCCAACCCAACCGCATCTCACCTTTGAGGCTAATGCTGCCTGGAATGAGGGAGAGCGCATCGAACTCCACAAGGTTATCCACCCCGTTGGGCGGGTAGATGGTCTGCACCAAGTCCTTGGATCGCAGCAGCGTGCGCCCCAGCATGCTGCGATAGTAGCCCCCTGCTGCTGTGGGGCGAGACGTGTACGCCACCTCCCATGCTGATGTGCGGGTAGAGACAGCACACAAGTCACAGGGAGAGTAAGGGGCGGTGGGGTGGGTTAATGAGTCTGCAGCAGGTAGTTGGAGCTTAGCAGCGTGCGCCCCAGCATGCTGCGGTAGTACCCGCCTGCTGCTGTGGGGCGCGACGTGTACGCCACCTCCCATGCTGATGTGCGGGTAGAGACAGCATACAGTCAGAGGGAGGCGGTGGGTAGGTTAGAGGAGCCTGCAACAGGTGGTTGGAGAGCAGAGCAGAAATGTGCGTCCCAGCATGCTGCGGTAGTACCCGCCTGCTGCTGTGGGTCGAGACGTGTACGCCACCTCCCATGCTGGTGCACACAGAGAGAGAGGCACACAGATAGATAGATAGAGGCACAGAGAGAATATAGGGTGGTGGGTGGGTCAAGGGAGTGGTGTGCAAATGGTGGTTGGGTGGCAGCAGCGTGCAACCCAGCATGCTACAGTAATACCCCCCTGCTGCTGTGGGGCGAGATGTGTATGCCACCTCCCATGCTGGCATGACAGCATACAGATAGAGGCACAGGGAGCTTATATGCATACCATCACACGGAGGACGTGCAGGCACACACCAGATGCAGGCAGGCAGAGAGGGAGTAAAGGGTGGTGGGTGGGATAAAGGAGTGGTGTGGTGTGATTCCAGGTGGTTGGAGATAACAGTACAGTCCGTACCGCCTCTCGCTCTAAGCACCTGCTTACCTCCGAACGCCAATGGACTCTTTAAGCGGCTCCTGCTGACCTCCGAACACCAGGGCACTCTTGAGTGGCTCCTCCAGCCCCACAGCCTCTAGCTGCTCCACTACCACACCTTTTTCACTGCTTCCCCTACAGCCCCTACAGTTCCTCGCTCTAAGCGCCAGCTTACCTCCGAACACCAGGGGACTCTTGAGCGGCTCCTCCAGCCCCACAGCCTCTAGCTGCTCCACTATCGCCGTCACTGCCGCCCGGCCCTCATCGCTCATCGCCGCCCCTCTGTCCGAGTCCTTCACCTGCAGGGGGGGACAATGTAGAACATGAATTTCTGTCGCCCTACTCCATCCTAATCCGCCCTACTCCGCCCTACTCTGGCCTTCCCTAGCCTGCCATGCCCTGCCCTTCTCCAATCGCTCATAGCCGCCCCTCTGTCCGAGTCCTTCACATGCAATCTCCCTATCCTGCCCCGCCCCGCCCTGCTCTTTTCCTTCCCTTCTCTTCCCTACCCTACCCCACTTTGTCTTGCCCTGCCTCCCTGCTCTCATCGCTCATTGCTACCCCCCCCCCCCTTAAAAGCGTGCTCGACAAGTGGGTTCAAGAAAGTGATTTTAATCAGGAGAGAAAAACGATGCCCATAGAGAGACGACTTTAGAGGCCCCAAAAGCAAATACACACTGCTGACCATGGAGAGAAGCTTATCGACCAGCTCTGAAGCCCGCGAGTCCGCGGCAGTCGCATCAGCCGCCGCTCGAACCCTAACATCTGCTCCGCGCAGACGCTTTTTCGGCAACGCTTGACGACTCAATCGCACTCCCGCTGGTCGAACCGCTACGCGGCAAGAGGAACTGAATGGGTCTGGCCTAGCGAGGGACACGAGGCAAGAGTTGCTAGTGGTGGGTGTGCTAGTGCTGGTGGGGGCAAAAGCCCTGGGAGGCTGTGCTGCGCAGATTCCGGCGCTTGAGGCCAACGAAAGAGAAGCTGAAGCGGCTCCCGCCATTTGTGTAACGGAAATTTCGTCAGAGAGTTCGATTGCGTGTTCGCTACTTCAGGACTCTTCGCAGAAAACGAAATTCCGTGATAATGATGGTGCCTAGCCTTGCCGACACGTCTTAGAATCTCGCCTGAATTTTATTTTAGTCCAACCAATATCGAGGCAGGACTGCAATGTCGATTATTGTCGGCGACACGTCACGATTACGTTTTGAGACCAGAAGATCTCATGAACTCTGGGTCGACCAATGAGCGAAGAGCCGAAGGATCGTCGTGCCTGGTTCACCACTGATCCCCGATTGCAATTCCGCGAGTCACTTGGGAAGCTTATTTTCTGTACACCACTAACCAGCACTAGACTCGACTAATACGTGATTGTTAAAAAACACACAGAACACAGCCGTGGCTGGTAAATCCCCTAAATTAATACTTGAATTGGTGGTAATTCTTGGCTCACCTTCTCTGCAATTAGCTTTCTCAACCCACCAGCCGGAACATTGTAGTAACAAGCAACAGTAAGTGCAGTAACACATTCCATATCTAACGTTACCCATGCACGCTAGAATTGTATTGTATTCTCACCCAGGCTTTCTCCCACCACGAAGACAAACATACCCCCCAGTTACGTCTCCAGCCTCTGTTAACCCCATAAACAACCTTGTTAAAACTGCACCCAACATCACCATCAGCACCACTTGCTCATCGCCCCCAACTTCTAACCGTCGAGGAGCGAACAGTTGGAGAACCTATCGACGCATGAATTCCACGATGCTTTGGAATCAGCATAACCACCTGATCATCGCCCCCAGCTTCTAACCGTCGAGGAGCGAACAGCCGGGGTACCCATCGACTCAAACACATCTGGGACGAGCATGCCCCCCAGCTGCGTCTCCAACCTCTGCTTGAACGTCCGGGCGGCCTTAGTCGGATCATCCACCGACGTCCTTGCAGTCTCGCCCTTCTTGGCTCTCGCGGCTGCACCTGGGGGAGGTTGGAACTGCAGTTCTACCTCCACCAGCACCCCCTTCGCCCCGGCCAGCTTCTTCCTCAGAATCCTCACGTTCCGCGTATTGGTGAGAGCAGCAGCAGCCAACCCGTGCCTTAAAGCCCCGTCCACCTCATCGTTCCATGCGTCCAGCCTGGCAGCAGGAAACATCAAGGCAGCTTCCACAACAGCTGTGGGACCGCCGTTCCCATCCTCCCCTTCCCCACCACCCCCATCCCCTCCTCCTCCGTCCATCCCGCCATCCTCGGGAATATCCGTTGTCCACCATGCACACGGTAGCGGGTACTTAAGTAAGTGCCGCATGGTTTTAACTTCAATCTCCTCCGAAAGCCCTGGCACGCATTTCTGCCCGATCTCTTCTGCCCCTTGCTTCAAAAACCCCACCTTCCAAGCAATATGATTCTTGTAACTCTCTGGTAAAATCCTCTCCGCCTGCCTTGTAATCTCCGGCCCCAGCCGCCTCTCTCCAGCCATAGCTCCCAGCACAGCAGCAGCGCGCGCACGCACAGTAATGGAGTTCTCTGTATCGAGTACAAGCGACGCCAGACGATCCACCACCTGATGCTGCAACCCCAACTCAACAGCCTTTGAGCTAAGTCTGAAAAGTTTCTGCATGAGCATCAGAGCACACACCCTCGGATCAGTAGCAGCTTGCCCCTGTCTCCCTGCTGGTACCTCCAGCAACAGTAGCTTTGACAGCAGCGAAATCAGCTCCTCAGAAGAGACGAAATCCGCCACGTCATTCGACGTGACCATGCGCAGGAACAGTAACACGCCGGCCTGCAGCAGCGCGCGCCGCTCCTCGCCGCTGCCCGACGTGAAAAAGTCCGTCACGGGCAGGAAAATGTCCGTGTTGGTGATGGTCAGCAGGTGCGGGCGGCTCTGGAAAAGCGCGAGCAGGGCCAGAAGCAGCCTTCTACGATCCGCAGTGGTGAACTCCTCGTATCTCTTGCCTTCGTTCGGCGCAGCAGTGACTATAGCCTTGCGAATCTCCCTCACCAGTTGCAGCTCCACTCGCTTCCCGAGATCAAATCTCGGCTGCCGCAACAACTGGTTCACATAGCACCCACCGATGTACATCTCAGGAACGTACCCCGCCTTCTCCTGCTCCGAAAACAACGTTTCCGCAGCCTCTGCTCCTCCTGCCGCTCCCTCCCCTTCATCTTTTGCCAGCTCGATGCTCTCGCGCACATACTGCAGGAAAAAGGGGCGGAACGCCGCTGCTTCCTCCCCGCCTCGCCCCACACTGCCGCCGTCAATCTCCTCCCCAGCCTCTAGATCCCACATGGGCAGCCCCAGCTGCTGCTTTCCCTCACTCACCTCCCCCTCATGCCTCCTCAGCACCTCGTCAGCCTCTCTCTTAATCGCATCTCTCGCCCTTCTCGCCGAAGCATCGTTCCACACAAGCAGCGGCGTGCAACTGGGAGAGCCAATGGCTCGGCACGCTCCTTCCGGATCGGACATGAGGAGCGAGAGGATGCGCATCGGCAGCAGCAGGTACAGCACCCGAACCGAAATGAGAGGCACGGCCGGCGCCGCACCTGGCTCCAGGAGCGAAATCAGGTTGTGGATGTCCCGGACGTCCCCGTGAGGGTCGGAAAACGCCTCCTCATCCACCGATAGGTTATCGATCCCGTTCGTGCCATCACCAAATGCTGCTGCCGAACTTCCCCCCTCCTCAATCCCGGCGATAAATTTTGCCCGATCCTGCACTCCGCAGGCCGCCAGCAACAGCTGCCCGAGAATCTGGGCAGCCCGAAACTGCGCCGTGTCCAGCACTCCCGCCTCTTCTGCCTCGCTCCACGCCTGCCCGGCGGCCTTTTTCGTGGTGCCCTTAAACGGGGGCAGCGGCACCCGAAGGAAAAGCGCGAGCAGCACGAGAAGCAGGCTGCTGGAACTGAAATGATTGGTAACCGCTACAACGGCAGCCATTTCCACACTTAGATCCAAAACCGCGTCGAGAATCGCCAGCGCCAACTCACTCAACCCTGCTCCAAAGTCCTCCTCCCCTTCTGGTGCCACCACCCCCTCTTCCACTCCCGTTCCTGGTATGGTGATCGATCTCCATAGCTGCCGTGCCAAAACGGGCAGCAAAGAGGACCCCAGCAGCTGCTCTCGGCTCGTAGGGGCACCTGAAATAATCTGCGCGATGCCCACGACCAGCCGCCGGGCAGTTGGAAGCGTATCCGGGGCAGCCGCCAAAATTTCCGCAAGGAGAAGATAGTCTATGTGAGCCAGCATGCCCCTCTTCCCGTCCTCTACCGCATACCTAATGCATTCTGCCAGGGCTTTAAGTACCATTAGAAACCCGGCAACAGTGGGAGGCTGTGAGGCAAAGGCAGCTGCTGAGGTGGTGACAATGCTGCTAGGAGATGGAGGAGTGATGAGGTTGGAAGAAGAGGAGGAGGAGGATTGGGAGGAGATGATGGGGAGGGAGGATCGAAGGTAGTCCTGAAGAGCCATGAGAAACGCGCGGCCGTCAGGCAGGTCGAAGTTTTCCCAGCTGCCCGCGGCGTACCCGCGGACGAAGATGCCCGAAATGACCATTTCATCCTTGAGGCAATCGTACCTGATAGACATGAGAGCAGCAAGGAGAGGGAAAGAAGAATGGGAGCAGCAGGGAGAGAAAAGGAAGTATCCGAGGGGACAAGGTGGACAAGGGAGATAAGAGTAAGAGAGGGCATGCATGAGACGATAAACTTTTGAGGCGCCTCAAAAGGGAATGCATGAGAGGATAAACTTTTGGGAAGTGAGGGGGGAAGTGAGGCGTGAAGTGAGGGGGGAGGAGACAGGGGGGGGGGAAGTCAAGTAGGAATGGAAAGAATCACATACAAAGGGTGGACGGCGTGGTTCTCGAGCTAGAGGGGGGAAAACCGTTGTCACAAGAAGAGTGAGCAGGTGGAAGGTTGGAGGGCTCAGGGGACGATCCCTTATGGTGTCTATGGTGGCACGAGACGGGGCAACAACTTTAGAGTTTGAGTTAACGGGGTGAACATAGGGAACTTCCCGACGAACTTGGCCGACGAACTTGGCCGACACCCAGAATACCACCTCATACCGCCTGCTACCGCCTGGCACCGCTCCATTCTCACCTGAAAGAGCGCAGCCAGGCCACTTCGTCTTCCTCCTCCGCTCCTCCTCCTGCTCCCCCTGCTCCGCCCGCCTGCGCCAGATTGAACCTCTTAATCCGCGCCTCCACCTTCCCCCTAAGCTCCTCCCTAACCGCCGCGTTCCAAATTGCAGTCGGCATCTCGCCGTCCGCACCCACCAGGGCGACAAGCTTCGCCGCCCCTGCATCAGGATTTTTCAGCGCGTCTAGCAGACCCCAGGGGATGACGTATGAGAGCAGGCCGCCTTGCTCCTGCTCCTGCTGTTGCTGCTCCAACTGCTGCATGTGCAGCAGAGAGCCTCGGGGGCTGGGCTCGCCGTCGGGCGGGAGGGCTTGCTCGAGGGTGATTGCGAGCGTGCGAAGGACCTCTGCTGCCACCTGCTGTAATGCTTTCGCTCTGAATTTGGGCTCCTGACCTGCTTGGGCAAGGCAGATACGTGGAAGGAAAGGGAAGGGCGGCAGAGAGGGTAGGGCAGACACACAGGTGGTGATTGCGAGGGTGTGGAGGAACCCTGCTGCTCCAGCTGCTGCATGTGCAGCAGAGAGCCTTGGGGGCTGGGCTCGCTCTCAGGCGGGCGGGCTTGCTCGAGAGTGATTGCGAGCGTTCGCAGCACCTCTGCTGCCACCTGCTGCAATGCTTTTGCCCTGAAGTTGGGCTCCTGACCTGCTTGGGAAGGGATGGGGGGTGTTGGAAGGGGTGGGAGGAGCAGTGAAGGATTGAAGGGCTTGCTTGAGAGTGAACACGAGTGTGCGGAGGAGCTCTGCTACCACCTGCTGCAGCGCTTTCGCCCTGAAGTTGGGCTCCTGACCTGACTGGACAAGGCAGAGGGTTGGAAGGGAAGGGAAGGGAAGGGCACAGGGAAGGGAAGCAGACTCACACAAAGAAGTGATTGCAAGGGTGAGAATGCTCAACCTGCCACCTGCTGCAGAGCGTTCGCCCTACAGCAGGCATGCTTGGGTAACGCAGAGATTCGGGAAGAGCATTTGAAGCAGTCAATATTAAAAGCATCGAAAGCGCCCTAAGCTCGGCTCAAAACACTCTCCTTCTAGTGAATTCATTCCCCACCTTCTGATGCTCGGTTGCCCTAAAGAGAAAGGTTTCAGCTGACCTGTTCACCTTGCCTCACCTCTATCGCTTCACTCATTTGGTTCCCTTACTTTACCACTTCGCCTTGCCTCACCACTTCACCTTGGCCCACCAGTTCACCTTGCCTTGCCGCTATGCCTTGGCCTACCAGTTTCGTTGCGGCGCCGCTCATCCTCGAGCGTTGACTCGGATGGAACGGCGAGGAGCAGCAGCGGCAGATGAAGGGCCTGGCCGGTGGAAGAAGCGCGCAGGCGAAGGGGGGAAGGAAGGGGAGGGAGGGAAAGGGAGGGATTTTTAAGGCACCTAAAATATCGACTCAATACACGAGGAGCAGCAGGGGCAGATGAAGGGACTGGCCGGTGGAAGAGGGGTGTATGTGGGGCGAGCGGAAAGGAAAGGGAAGGAAGGGATGGGTATGGAGGGGAGAGAAAATGAAGAAGCAAAACGACAAAGTAATCAATGATGGCATTGTTGGGGACACGAATGAATATACACACTCACACTGACACACATGCTTCACCCATCTGGTTGATCAGTCTGTAGCACGTCTCAGTCCCCAGCGAAGTGATTAAGGCAGTAGAGAGCAGCAAAGGCCAGAAACCACGGCACGCCATCCGCTTTAAGGTCACCTAAAATGCACGCGCATGCATACACACACAGGCACCAAAAGCGCACACATACACTCGCCCACCCCCACCTGGTTGATCAGCTTGTAGCACATATCCCGGTCCCCAGCGAAGTGGTTGAGACAGTCGAGAGCAGCGAAGGCCAGCGAGCACGGCACGCCATCGGCGCTGCCCCGGCTGCTCTCCCCCGCAGCGGAGCACATCGCCCACCAGAAGCCCTTGCGCCACCGCACGTCATCCCTTAGCTGCTTGCGCCCCTCCCTGTAGTCAAGTGAGGTTGTGGGGGGTTACAGAGGGGTTGAAGTGGATGTGCGAAAAAAAAAATAGTGAGTATATGAAAAGGCAGTAGCAGCCGTGGCTGCTCTCCCCCGCAGCGGAGCACAGCGCCCACCAGAAGCCCTTGCGCCACCGCACGTCATCCCTCAGCTGCTTGCGTCCTTCCCTGCAGCCATAGTAGTGAGGGGTTATGGAAGGTTGAGGGGGGTTATGGGGGTACAAAGGTCACAAGGAGCACAGAGCCCACAAGAAGCCCTTGCGCCACCGCACGTCGCCCCTCAACTGCTTGCGTCCTTCCCTGTAGTGGTGATGAGAGGTTATGATGAGCAGAGCGCCCACCAGAAGCCCTTGCGCCACTGCATGTCGTCCCTCAGCTGCTTGCATCCTTCCCTGTAGTGGTGACAGCCGATATGGTGATGGGAGATCATGAAGGGATCGAGGTGGTTGCTTGCACCATGTGCATTGTGAGTTGCATATGTATGTGTGACAAAAAAAAAAACAAACTAACAAACAAAACAAAAACAAAACAAAAAAAGGGCGCTTCTGACAGTTTTAAAGAATGCCGATGTTCATCGTGAGTTGCATGTGTGCGACTCGAAAGACAGGACTCACTTGGACGAGGCGGCAAGCTCGAGGATGGACAGGGCGCAAGAGAGGGCGGGCTCGAGAGGGGACTTGGCGGGGGAGTCGGGGAAGCTTCCATCCGACTTCACACGCGCTCCACAGGACAGCACGCTGAGGGCGAAGTTGATGGACGGCTGAGATACGTCCGCGTCCCTGTGGAGGGAGGTAGGGGAGGAAGGGATGGGAATCACGGGAAAAATCACAGAGGTTTTAACAGTTGCTGGGTTCATAGTTCCGTTACGCACTAAACGACACACTCAGTTAAGGCCCTGGATCACTTCTGTCTTGGTGAAACTTCCTTGAAGCTTCCTTGAAGAGCGTACCAGCATGCTGCAGGATATCGGCCATCTACGGGGCAGTTGTCCTCTGAGCGATGCTCAAGTCGAAAGAATCCTTTCACTTCAATCACAAGACCCCTGAGTCACAATACAATTGTCTCGACTCACTTGTCTCTCGTTCGCTGTGATCCCTCTGCGAATCTTAGCAGCATGCTGCAGAATATCAGCCATATGAGGGGGACAGTCGTCCCTCTGAGCGACGCTTGAGTCGAATAAGAAACTTGACTATTAAGACGACCATACAACTTTTCTAATGACTTGACTCACTTGTCTCAGTGCGCGGTAGTCGATGCACATCCGTAAACTGCCGTCTGGTTTTGGAGTGAAGAGAACTGGTGCACCGTAGGGAGAGGTGGATGGGCGGATCAGTTGTCTGTCCAGTAGATATTCAATCTGTTTCTTCATGTCTGTCAGCTCGGTCGGACTCAGTCGGTATGGTGCACGTGAGACGGGTTTCGCACCTGGTTCCTCCACGATCTCGTGCTTGTGGGTGCGTGCTGGAGGTACGCCTGCAGGTAGGTCGTCGGGCATCATATCCTTGTACTGCTCCAAGACTTCCTTCACTGCTGCAGGTAGCTCTGCGTTCGGCTTCTCCTCCTCTGCTGCTGCCATAACCAGTGCTAGGTATCCCGTGTTACTCTCGTTTACCGTCTGTTCAAACCGTGCCAGTGTCGTTTCAGGAACGTCCCCTGTGTCCGTCCAGCTTCGTAGTGCTATCCGTTTCCCGTTGTTGTAGATGCACACCTTCCTGTTGACCCAATCGATCTCGGGGTTGAACCGCTTCAAGAAATCTCGTCCCAAGATGAAATCTAAACCCTTGATGTTCGTGATCGGCAACGTCGGCTTCCACCTTAGCGCCCCTATGTGCAGCTGCAGTGATGCTTCGCCGTGGATAGGAAGTTTCGTACCGTCCACCATTGTTGCCGAGAACTTGGTCTCCTCGGAAGGTTCCCCAATTTTCTCCAACGTCCCGCGGTCACACACTGAGTGGGATGCACCGCTGTCCACCAGTGCCTGGAGGCGTCGTCCTTTGCATAACACCTCGAGGAGTAGTGGTGCCTGCTGCGCTGAGTAGCCAAAGAGGGTGTCATTAATAGGATCATAGGGTACATCAAAATGAATACCATCCCTATTTCCTATACCTGACTCAGCACTTTTCACTTCCAACTTCACCTGGGGGGTAGGAGGATTTTTCCGAGGCTTGTATAACTTCTCCTGAGCCTGGAATTTTCCTCTAAGCCTTTGCAGCTGTGTAGGCTTCACCTGTGGGCAACGGGGAGCCTTAACACTGTGCTGCGGGGAGAGAATATTAACTCCACGGAACGCACGACCCTTCTCTACGCTCCGTAGTACTTTGCCCAACTTCTCAGGTACCTGAATAATCTCTAAAGGCTTTTTCTTGGCCTCTAAATCTCCCCTGAATTTCTCAAAGGCTTGAAAACCACGAGAAGCAATATTCTTCGTTAGAGTATCTTTATAGGATACTTTTAACGAATTCTTACTTTCGTGGGTGTTCGGCTGGAGTTTCCCGGTCGGTGCAGAGTCTTTTTTCGCGGAGCCTCCGTTCGCCTCGGCGATTTCCCCTGATGCCGGCCGGTCGTGACGTTTTATCTTCGCGCCATCATTTTCTCCTTTTTTCACCCGCTCCGAAGTCGCCACGTCGTCGCCCTTTTCTGCTTTTCGGATCTTTACGCGATCGCCAGGTCGATCCGCGGCTACTGGCGATTCCCGTTTTTTTACTTCGGGGGTGCTCCACTGTTACCGCCCTGCAGTGTCGCACGTGCCTTTTTCATCTTGTAGCACGACAAAATTTGATGCCCTGCTGCGCCGCAAAATTCGCATTTTGTCGGCTGCTGCTTCGCGTCGTATTTGTCGATTTCCATCGGTTCGGCGAACGTGGGGGGTGCCGATCGCTCCGTGCCGAATGTACGGTTCGGCGCGAAACGTCGTGTTCCGGGTTGACCTTGAGTCAATGCGTCGTATCGCTCGGCAGCACGCACGATGTCGCGGTAACTGTTGTAATTCGCTGCGATGACCTGTCGGCGAATCTCCAATTTTAACCCTTCTGTATACGCCTGGATTTTTTCGCCTTCGGTCAGGTCCGTGATGCGGTTGAACAGTAGCTCCATCTGCTGCGTGTACTGTGCTACACTACTGTACTGTTTGTGACGGTGTATCTGCTGCCGCGCCATGTAGGTCGTATTAATGGGCTCGAAACGTTCGATGAGGTCTGCCCGAAACTGCTGCCACGTTTTCTCCCCGCGGGCCACGTCCGTTTAGTAAATCCACTCTAATGCCGGTCCACGTAACAGTGTCGCTGCGAGCCGAATTCGTGCTGCGTCGTGTGTCGGGGTCGAACAGCCAATGGCCTCGAAATAAATTTCGAGGGTCGCCACGAATCGTTGAACGTCAGATCCTTTCGCGCTGGGATCGAACGCTTCGGGGAGCCTCGGGCGTGCTGCTTCGAGGTTCGGCGACAGTGGTGCCATCGGTCCATGAAATGTTGGTGTCACCACTGCTGCTGGTGTTGTCGCTGCTACGTTCGCTGCTGCTGCGGTGGCGGCTCCTGGTTGGTGTGTCAGAAGGGCCTCGAGTCGTCGGATCGCTGCCTGCGTCTGCTCCATGTCAGTGCGGAGGCTTGCGATGTCGCTCGTCGTCGCGTAATTGTCACCTTGGCCCTCCATGCCTGACATTGCGCGTTCGAAAAAACCGAAACGAGGGGGAGCAAAAAACACGGAACCGGTTTTACGTACCCAAAATCGGTGTTTAACAGGCGTCGCCCCCGCGGTTTTTGAAGACTCAGTTTTTAGCGGTCGAAAAACTTTCGCGTGTAAACGGGCTCTGATTACCAAGTGTGAGGATCTAGGATCGAGCTCAGAAATGAGAGTTTGAATTGAATGAATCACCTGGGTACAACACGAGGCTATATATAGACTCGACACAAGGCCCAATAACCAGGTGTTACGTGAAGGATCTGAGGGTCGCGAAGCGTCCCGAACAGACCCTTCCCGAATTCGGTAGAAGGCAATTCGGTGTCAACCGAAAAGCCCAGAATTCGGTGCACGCAACCTAGCTCGGTGCTATAACTATAATAAAATATAGAAGAGCACCTAGCCTAGGAAATCAAGCAATTCATGCATGCATAAAATAAACCTAAGCTAGAAATAGCGTAATAAAGTAAAGGCAAGCAAGCATAGCTGGCATAAGCTGTCGTACTCTCACAAGCAGGCACTGGAGATGGAGACCCTGGAGCTTAAGGCGCTGGAGCTGTAGGCGCTGGAGCTGGAGGTACCGGAGGTGCTGGAGCTGCTGGTCCTGGAGGTGTTGGAGGTGCTGGAGCTGGTGGTGCTGCAGGCGTTGGAGCTGGAGTCACTGGAGCTGGAGACCCTGGAGCTGGAGGTGCTGGCCCTGGGGGTGCTGGTGCTGTCGGTGCTTGTTCTGGAGGCACTGTGCGGCCGCGACAGTACTTCGTTCCACTACTTCAGCAGGTTCTTGGTCTACCGCCTGACCAGTCGCAGCCACAGTTATAGCCAGACTCCCCACTGCCTGCTCCTTCTCCTTACACTGAGCAGACAGACTCTCTTACAGAGCATCGTGAGCCTGCGTCTCGTCCTGCCTCACCTGTTCGCGCTGTTCGCACTGGTCGTCGTGTTCCTCGTCAGCGTCCTCCTCCTGTTCGCAGCAAGCACCATATGGCACTTCGTCCTTCCTCTTTTCCACAGCGTGTCCCGCTGCCGTCTCCTCCTGCGTCCTCTCTTCTTGACGTTCCTGACCCGCCGTTTGACCTTGCTCGTGCTGCCAGTCCTACTGTCATACGTCTTCTAGCCACTGTTGTCACTGACCCTTCGTTTGAGTCCACTGCTACGTTTGCCCTAGTTGCTGAGCTTGTTGATTTTGCTGCCGCCTGTCGTCTTGACTACGCCGCTAGTCTTGTTGCTGAGTTTGAGTCTGACTGTCCTCCGTCCGTCGGGGGTGAGTGTGCCCTTGGCACAGACGTCCTTGAGGACAGGGAGGATGACTTTGAGTGTCTTGCAGCTGCTGTGCATCATCTCGTGGCCATGCTGCTTGCACCTGAGGCAGACCCGGATGCTTTAGACATCCCGACCCCGCGCTCTTACGCAGAGGCAATTACGGGTCCCTACTCCGCTACGTGGCAGACAGCCATGGATACAGAGATGACATCCTGGAAGTCCACAGGTACTTACGTCGACGAGGTTCCCCCTCCTTGGGCGAACATAGTCGATGGCATGTGGATTTTCAGGGTGAAGCGGCCGCCAGGTTCTCCGCCTGTATTCAAGGCTCGTTACGTTGCACGACGCTTTAGTCAGCGACAGGGAGTTGACTTCTTCCATACCTTCTCCCCTACCCCGAAGATGACCACTCTTCGGGTGCTGCTGCACATTGCTGCTCAGCGTGACTACGAGCTTCACTCTCTTGAATTCAACACAAGTTTTTTACAGGCCACTCCGCACGAGGATATCTGCCTGCGCCGCCCACCTGGCTTCACTGGGTCGTTTCGTGCAGGTACCCAGTGGAGCCTCCGGAAGCCAGTCTACGGTCTCCGCCAGGTGCCTCACGAGTGGCACGACACAATGAGGACGACACTTGCGGCTCTTGGGTTTGCTCCTTCGACTGCTGACCTGTCGCTATTTCTGCGCACCGACACTTCGCTGCCGCCGTTCTACATCCTCGTGTACGTCGACGACTTGGTTTTCACCACTGCTGACACTCAGGCAGTGGCCCTTGTGAAGTCGGAGCTGCAGAAGAGACACACGTGCACAGACCTGGGTAGGCTGCGCAACTATCTTTGCTTGCAGATCACTCGGGACAGAGCACAGCGCACCATCGCCCTGACTCAGTCACACATGGTGCAGCAGGTCCTTCAGCGCTTC